GGCCTGCTGTGTTCATCCAGCCCTGCACCTTGTTGTCTAAGAAAAAAATACCATTCCCTCTGATAAAATAGAAATCATAGGAGAGTAATACTGGGATCACTCTCAAATCCCAGAACAGAAGAAAGCTGGAAAATGAAACAAGATTCTTCCTACTTCAGTTTCAGATCAATTTCAGCTCCAGACTCGGACATTTTCTATAATGACTAGGCTCTTAGAGTCTTAGAGTCATGGAGTTGTATAGCACAGCAACAGACCCTTCAGTCCAACTTGTCCATGCCGACTAGATATCCTAAATTAGTCTAGTCCTATTTGCCAGCATGTGGTCCATATCCCCCTCAACTCTTCCTGTTCATGTACCTATCCAGATGCCTTTTAAACGTTGTAATTTTTCCAGCCACCACCACTTCCCTGCACACTACCCTCTGCACAAAAAAGTTGCCCCTTAAGTCAATTTTAAATCTTTCCCCTCTCACCTTAAATCTATGCCCTCTAGTTTTGGAATAACCTACCCTGGGATAAAGACCTTGGCTTCTCACACTTTGCATACCCCTCATGATTTTATAAACCTCTAAGGTGACCAATCGGCCTGTGACCCTCTAGGGAAAATCCAGGGGGGAGAAAGAAGCGGCATGGTGGCTTAGTGGTTAGCATTGCCTCCTCACATCGCCAGTCACCAGTTGATTCCAGCCTCAGGCGACTGTGCAAACTCCACACAGACATTCTCCCTGTGTCTGCATGGATTTCCTCCAGGTACTCTGGTTTCCTCCCACAGTCCAGAGATGTGCAGGTTAGGTGGATTCATCGCGTTAAATTGCCCGTAGTGTCCAGGCATGTGCAAGCTAGGTGGATTAGCCATTGGAAATGCGGGGTTACAGATTTAGGATAGGGTGTTAGGTCTGGGTGAGATGCTGTTTGGAGGGTTGGTGTGGACTCAATATACCAAATGGCCTGCTTCCACATTGTAGGGATTCTATTCTGTTCTTTGAAAATGGTCCCAGTCTACTCAGCCTTTCCTTATAGCTCAAACCCTCCGATCCCAGTGACAGCCTTGTAAATCTTTTCTGCACCCTTTCAAGTTTAACAACATCTTTTCTGTATCTGGGAGACCAGAATCAAATGCAGTATTTCAAAAGTGGTCTAATTCCCTAAAGATAGCAAGAACTGCAGATGCTGGAGTCAGAGATAACAAAGTGTGGAGCTGGAGGAACACAGCATGCCAGGGCCCTGATCCGAAACGTTGGCTTTCCTGTTCCTCTGATGCTGGCTGGCCTGCTGTGTTCCTCCAGCTCCACACTTTGTTGTCTCTAATTCCCTAAAGAACTTTAGTGAACCAAATGGATTGTTAAAGCATTGATAGTTTCATCATCTTCATTGCTGAGACTGGCTTTCAATTCCATTTTTCTTCTTAAATTGATTTAATTTAGTTAGATTTTACTAGCTGCCTTAGTGGAATTTGAAGCCGTGACCCTGTGTGGGCCTCTAGATTTCTAGTCACTACGCTACCATCCCATTTACAGCATTTCCACACAGCATGGTCCTGAGCAGCAACCATAACATGTACAAGCCAGGTTGGCAGCTAAACATTACAGCAATGACAATTCATCTGAGATGCACCAGAGGTCATCCAATGGGAATTATGAGAATGAACTAACCGTATAAACCTGTGCTTTTCTTTTCCAACAGCGAAGTATTCGTGCCCAAGTGGTCACAACTTTTGAACTTCCGGGATGCCATGATATGTGGACAGTAGTTGCTTCAAGAGATGAGGTAAACACAAAGGTAAGCAATAAAAGAGATAACAAGGTGTAGAGCTGGATGAACACAGCAGGCCAGGCAGCATCAGAGGAGCAGGAAAGTTGATGTTTTGGGCCAAGACCCTTCTTCAGAAATGGGGACCCTGGCCCGAAATTTCAACTTTCCTGCTCGTCTGATGCTGCCTGACCTGCTGTGCTCCTCCAGCTCCACACTGTGTTACCTCTGACTCAAACATCGGCAGTTCTTACTATCTCAGGTAAGCAATAAAATCTTTTTAGCAGTTCATGTTAAGCTTTATATTTCAAACAAAAGGTCACTACAATTAGAAGTATTAAAGGCACAGATGAAGTTGTGATGAAAGTTTAATCCTGTGAATAATGTTTGTAGCATGCATAGAAATTAACTAATCACTGTTTTATCTTGAATCTTCATCTGTGAGGTATTAGTCAAAGAACAAAGAATCTCTATATTTATCTCACTGTTGGTCCCGTGCCTGATTGGGTATATCACCTGCAGCCTGAAGAAATTGAGTAACAGCTTTCATTGGAGAGCAGGGATTGTAAAGAATCACCCCAGTGGATGATTTGTCCTGTTTTACAAACTATGCTTTAAAATACCCTTGATGTAATGGTGATTGGCTACCTGGTTACAATCAATATTCTTGTCAAGAATTTATATTCTGATTCTGGAAAATTAAATGGGGCAAGTACAGCGTGTTTCTTTTGGACAGCATTTAGTGAATAGTGGTAATGTTGGTTTGGAGCAGTTATTGTTTCATTTTCTTTTCAATCAAGCATTTTATTTTCAATTATAGGAGCGCTAATTGAAAGGAGATCTAATTGGCAGGTCTAAGCAATGGAAGCCTTCAAAGAGGTTTTAGTTCAGATCCAGACCCTGTGCAATCTCAAAGGGGAAAAGAACTAGATTTCCCTGGATGACTAAAGATGTAAATAGACAAAGCACAAGAATGGTAAATGCTGACATAACGATACCCTAGAAAATGTGCTATTTACTTAATGTGCAGAGAATAAAGCAAATGAGAGTGGCTATGAAAGTTTGAGATTTAATCAGTGAGCAATTGGAAAAGAAACTCAAAAGCCTTTTTTATAAACATCAACAGAGAATGGGTAGTCGAGGAGCATAGGGACCGAGCATAGGGACCAATCAGGGACCAGAATATCTTGTGGAGTTTGAGTAAGTGTGGAGTTTGCAGTGAAACAGTAGCTAGTCGTAAATAAAATTTTGGCAATACTTATAGTGGAAAAGTCAGTTATTTCAGATGGATTACTGAAAGAGGTACAGGTGGAAGTAGAGAGGGGGGCAAAGCAATGAGGCTTGCAAAGAGCATGCACAGATCCAATGAGTTGAATGACCTGTGCTGTATTGTTCTTTGATTCTATATCAGTTTAACTGAATAAAAATATTTTAAACTAACGCTACGTTCTGAATATTTTCCATCCCATTAGAGTTCAGCGTTTTGTCTTATGATTGGTTTTTTGCCTGAAGAGCCTTTGATTTGATTTGATTAAAATGCAGCTTTAAGTTGAAATCCCACAGCAGCCAGATCATAGAGACAGTATATAGTTAAACTATAACTGACCTCTTTGTTTATTGAATATCCTTCCCCCTTTAATCTATTCAATTTTGGCTTCAATTTTTTGACCAAGTCAATTATATGGTAACATAAAGACATAGGTCTGTGAGTGCTGAAATCTGGAATGCAACAAAGTGCTGGAGAAACTCAGCAGATCTGGCAGTATCATAGGAAGGTGGTTGTTGGAGGTCAGTGATCTCAGCTCCATAACATCTCTAAGAGTTCCTCACTACACCCAACTATCTTCAGCTGCTTCATCAATGATCTTCCTCCTATCATAAGGTCCAAAGTGGCGATGTTTACCATTGATTGAAAAACAAGTGTTCACCATTTGTGACCACCTGGATACTAAAGCAGTCCATGTTCAAATTCGGCAAGACAATATCCAGACTCACGCTGACGAGTAGCAAGTAACATTTGCAATCCACATGCAATGACCATCTCGTAAAAGAGACAATCTAACCACCACCCCTTGACATTCAATAGTGTTACTATCACTGAATCCCCCACCATCAATATCCTAGTGATTACTATTGACTAGACACTCAGCTGGACTCACCATAGAAATGCAGTGGCTACAAGAGCAGGTCAGAAGCTAGGAATACTTTGGTGAACCACCTCCTGATTGTCCAAAGTCTGTTCACCATCAGCAAGGCACAAGTCAGGGGTATGAAGGAATACTCCCCACTTAACTGGATGGGTGAAGTTCTCGTAACACTCCAGAAGCTTGACGCCATCCAGGACAAATCAGCTCACCTAGTTGGCACCACATTGGCATCAACTCCCACCTCCATGGATGCTAAATCCTGGAAATCCCTCCCTAATGGTACTGTGGGTCAGCCTACAGCACGTGGACTGCAGAGATTCAATCAGGGCAGCTCACCATCGCGTTCTCAAGGGCAACTTGAGCAGTAGCAAGACGCGCTGCAGGAATTCACCAAAAATCCTTAGGCAGCACTTTCCATACCCATGACCACTTTCATCTAGAAGGATAAGGACAGCAGATACACAGAAACACCATTGCCTGCAAATTCCCCTCTAAGCTACCCACCATCCTGTCTTGGAAATAGATTGACATTCCTTCACTTTCACAGGGTCAAAATTCTGGAATTCCCTCCCTCAAGTCATTGTGGGTCTACCTACAGCACATGAACTGCAGAGGTTCAGCAAGGCAGCTCACCATCACCTTCTGAATGTCAACTTGGGATGCGCAATAAATGCTGTCAAGCATTTTATGTTTGTACCTTTGGCATTTAGAATGTGTTTGTGTTTTAGTTTGGAGTCAGACTGGTTTTATTTCTAAAATGGGAATTTATAAAATGTCAAATTGTCTGTAAGTTGTGCTTTTGGAACAAAATAGAATGTATCTGCAAATACAGATTCACCCCATAGATTCGTGTGTGTGTGTGTGTGTGTGTGTGTGTGTGTGTGTGTGTGTGTGTGTGTGTGAGAGAGGGAGAGTCACCTGTAGTGCAACTTGAACCCAAGATCCCAGTTCAGGCTGTCCTCATGGGTATCGAACTTAGCTATCAGTCTTTGCTCGACAACTCGGCATTATTGTGTATCCCGAAGTCCGCCTTACCCGAATATCCGAGGCCAAATGTCCTTGACTGCTGTCCTGTACACTTCAAGAAATTCACTCCATTGAAGCCCTTAACACTATATCTGTCCTAGATAATATTGGAAAAGTTGAAATCTACTATATTTACCTTTTTGTTATTATTTTTACATACCTTCATAAATTGTGCACAAATTTGCTTGTCAATTTCCTGCTGATTGTCTGGGGTTCTAGCAATGTGCCTCATTTTTTTATGTCTCAGCTGTATCCATGAAGCTTATTTTGATGCCCCCTCCTTACCGCAGTAACTCACTCCTTAACTAATAATGAAATGTCCTCTCACCTCTTAACACCACCTCTCTCTCGCCTGCCTATTCTATATCCTGGACTGTTGATTGAGAAAATGCTTGTCAAGGCAGTGGGAGCATTTCCCACTCTTGAGATTTTTGTAATATCGTTTCATCTTGATTTTCAACTCATTGTTTAGGATCAGACTGGTGATGGGGAAAAGATAGAGAAGGAATCCAAAGAGGTTGCACCAGAGGAAGATGTCAAAAAGCATGGTTTCTTGATTTTAAGTCGAGAAGATTCAACAATGGTAAGTAATATTTTTTAATGAACTTCAAGTTCCTTTCCTGCCTCAAAATAATATGGGAATCCCATTTTGTTCTTGTGCATGTCTATATTTCTCAATTATATTGTTTTAATAAGGAGACCAGTTTTAGCTTAATTTGTTTGAACATCTTTGTGACTGACTGACTTATAGTGAAAATTAACTACCCACTAATGAATGAAAAAAGTCGTGTTTTTACAAGCTTGTTTTGGCAATTCTCAAAATGCTACTTCAGTGTCCCTTCCAAATCCACAACCTGTACCAAGGGCAAGAGCAGCAAATGCATGCAACTGTCACCACCTGCCACTTTGCCAATGAGCCACATAGCATCTGGAACAATATCCCTACTCAGTGTTGTTAGGTCTAAATCCTGGAACTCCCTAACAACATTATAGATGTCCCTATACCAGAGAGACTGTTATGGTGTAAGCAGCCAAGATAGTTTTGTCAAGAACGAAAACAGCAGTTGCTAGAGAAGCTCAGCAGGTCTGGCAGCATCTGTGAAGAACAGAATCAGAGTTAACATTTCGGGTCCAGTGACCCTTCCTCAGAACTCGGCATAACTTTGTCAAGGACTGGTCATGTCTGATAAATTGCGTTCTTCGATGAGGTGACACAGGCAGTGGATGAGGGTGGTGTTTATTTAAGGAAGGATGTTAAAGCCCTGGAGAGAGTTCAAGGAAGGTTTACTAGAATGGTACCAGGAATGAAGGATTTTAAATACAAGGAAAGATTATAGAGATTGGGCTTATTTTTCTTGGAGCAGAGAGGATTAAGAGGTGACCTTATTGAGGTGATCAAAATTATGAACAATTTTGACAGGATAAAGAAGGAAATTCTGCTTCCACTAGTTGGTATGTCTGTAACTAGGGGTCGCAATCTCAGATTGTCAGCATGGCAATGTCTGTTCTTCCTCAGGAGGCTAAAGAAATTTGGCCTGTCCATAAGGACCCTCACCAACTTTTACAGATGCATCATAGAAAGCATTCCACCTGGATGCATCATGACTTGGTATGGCAACAGCTCTACCCAGGTAGAAACTACAGTGAGTTGTGAACACAGCCTGGACCATCATGGAAGCCAACTTTCCATTCACTGATTCCATCCACACCTCTCGCTGCCTCAGAAAGGCAGCCTACATCATCAAAGACCCCTCCCATCCCAGTTACAATCTTTTCCAAGGAACAAAAACAAAGTTGCTGGAAAAGCTCAGCAGGTCTGGCAGTTCTGAGGAAGGGTCACCGGACCCGAAACGTTAACTCCGTTTTCTCCTCCACAGTTGCTGCCAGACCTGCTGAGCTTTTCCAGCAACTTTGTTTTTGTTCCTGATTTACAGCATCCGCAGTTCTTTCAGTTTTTATAATCTTTTCCAACCTCTTCTGTTAAGCGGAAGGTACGAAAGCTTAAACATGTACCAACAGGTTCAAGATCTGTTATTATCTGTTATTAGATTTCTGAACGGACTTCTCAAATTTCAAATCTGTTGATCTTGTTGTTTGTGCACCTTCTTTGCAGCTGTAACTTTGTATTCCTCACCCTGTTTAATTATGCTATGATCTTTGTATATTATGATCTGCCTGTACTGCATGCAAAGCAAAACTTTACCTTATACTTAGGTACATGTGACAATAATAAATCAAATCAAGACAGCTAGGGGTGAGATGAGGTGAAACTTCTTTACTCACTTGTTAGGGTTTGAAATACACTGCCTGGGAGAGTGGTGGAGGTGGATTCCATAAGTTTCAAAAGAGAACATTTGAAAGTGATGAAGTTACAGGGCTATAGCAATAGGGCTGGAGAATGGGAATATCTGGGTAACTCTTTCGGTAGCTGGTACAGGCATGGGTCGAATGGCCTCTTTCTCATAGAATCTCTACAGTGTACTGTAAAATTCTATTTTTCTGTAAGAACGTGGCACAGCACCATCTTTTGAAGTACATTTAGGCCCTGCAGCAAATGTTGATCTAGGCAGTGATGCCCACATCCCATGAAATAATTTTTTTAAACATTTATACGCAGCAAAGTCCTGCAAACAGCACTGTGACAAATAATTCTAAATTTTAGTGATGTTAGTTGAGAGATACATGATGAATAGGTAACTTGGAGAGCTCCTCTTCAAATAATATCATATTTTCTTCACATCATTCATTTCTGCGATGAAAGGCTTATCTTATGAAGAAGCGTTAGGCCTTCATCATTTTGAGTTTAGAAGAAAGAGGTGATTTTATTGTGTGATAAGTTATATGATTTATATATTATAATTTATTTTAGAGTTTAGAATTTGAACTAGTAGCATGTGGTTTTGGTCTGAGTGGAGTGAGGGGTGTTTTAATGATTAACTTGTCAGTATTTCTGGAGCAATGATTTTTTTTAAATTAGTATGAGAGCATGAGTAAGTCCCACAGGTGATGGGAGTTTGTTTTCACAGGAGAGTTTGACAAGCAGACAGCGTAACATTTGAGAAGCTTTTGCTTGTATTCTGTTCAGAAGGATCAGGAGTTTGCTTCGGGGGGAGAAACCAGTCGTATAGAAAGCTTTGGATTTTCACTTTGCAGAGGACCGGTTGGAAGTTAGATGTATGAAGAAAGGAGATGATTTGGAATTGTTAGGAAATCAATTACCTCATTGTAATGGTTTTACTTGAAGGAGCCAGACCAGAAGTGTTTAGTTCATATGTGGAATGGGTTACTTGCAGCTGAGAAAATCTAAGCTGAATTGTGTGACTAATCAAGAAAAAAGCTGCCAAACTGTCAAGACTAGGATTTGGAAAAAAGAAAGTGAAATATGTTAGAAACTTGTATATATGAAAGAGTAAGGAATTAATTCTGGTGTTTGCATACTGTAATGTGATGTTGAGCAGGTGGGATTGTATTCTATTCTATGCTACACCTGCCCCCCTACACTTCCCTCCTCACCTCCCTCCAAGAGCCTTCCATAAGATCTGCGCTCTCTGCGACTCCCTTGTCCGCTCCACACTCCCCACTAGCCCCACCACCTTTCCCTGCAACCGCAGGAAGTGCGACACCTGCCCCTACACCTCCCCCCTCACCTCCATCCAAGCAAACAAAAAAACCTTCCACATCAGACAGAGGTTCACCCGTACATCCGCTAATGTGGTCTGCTGTGTCTGCTGCTCCTGATGTGGCCTCCTCTACATTGGTGAGACCAAGCGGAGGGTTGGAAACTGCTTTGTAGAGCACCTGCCCTCTGTTCGTGACAAACGACAACACCTTCCAGTCGCAAACCACTTCAACTCCCCCTCCCACTCCCTGGGCGACATGTCCATCCTGGACCTCCTCCAGTGTCACAATAACGCCACCCGGAAACTGGAGGAGCAGCATCTCCTATGCCGCCTTGGGAGCCTACAACCCACTGGTCTCAATGTAGACTTTACCAGTTTCAAAATCTCTCCATCTCTAGCTTCATCCCATGACCAACCCTCCCTCTCATTCCCGCCTCCTTGTCCTGACACAACCTGTCCGTCTTCTCTTCTACCTCACTGACTAATCCCTACCACTGCCTACCTGCACTCACCTATCATCATCCCACCTACCTTCCCCCCCCCCACCCCCCTTTTTTTTTTTTTCGTGCCCCCCTTCCCCCCCCCCCCCATTTCTGAAGAAGGGTCCCGACCCCAAACGTCGACTTTCCTGTTCTTCTGATGCTGCCTGGCCTGCAGTGTTCCTCCAGCTGCACACCGTGTTATCTCTCACTCCAGCATCAGCAGTTCTTGCTATCTCTCAATGGAAGGAAGGCTGGCTTTTATGATATTCTGGACTGTGTTCACAACTGTTATTTCTTGCTGTCTTGGGCAGAGCAGTTGCCATCCCAACCTGTGATGCATCTGTACAAGGGTGCTTTCTATGGCGTATCTATAAAAATTGGTGAGAGTCATTATGGACATGCCAAATTTCCTTAGACTTCTGAGGAAGTAGACGCGTCGGTGTGCTTTCATTACTGCTATGCCATCATCTCTCCCCTTAAATCTGTTGGAAAGACCGCGCAGAAATTAATGTATTTCGTCTATGTCTTATGTTTCCCCCTCTCTAAATGGTAGATCCTGCAGACTGGTCAGGAAATCATGGAGCTGGATGCCAGTGGCTTTGCTACACAGGGACCAACTATTTTTGCTGGAAACATTGGAGACAATAAGTACATTGTGCAAGTTTCACCTTTAGGAATTCGTCTATTGGAAGGCGGTGAGTACTTGCAAACTTTGGGGCATCCAGTACAATTAAACTGTCCATTACTGACAGGTTCAGATTTTAATGTTCTTTCAGCTACAGTCATTGCACCATCTTTTTGAAAAGGTAGGAAGGTTTAGTCCAGGTAATTACACACTATGCACGCTGGTCCCAGTGATAGGCAATAATTGGCAAAAGTTCTGAGACTGTAAATTTTCTGATGTAGAGAATAGAATTAATCAAGGACAGGCAGCATGGATTGTTTAGAGAAGATTGTGTTTGATTAACTTGATTGAGTTTTTTTGTGAATAGCTCATTTGATGTCTTACTAAAGTCCATGAATGCCATACCACATGGCAGACTGATCATTAAGTTAAAGCCCATCTGTTCTAGGGGAAAGTCACTTGGTGTTTTGGTGATTGGAGGACCCTGTTTCCAGTGGGATTTCTGAGGGCTCAGTGCTGTGTGCTGATATGTCAGTGATTTAGACTCGTATGTAGTGGGTATGGTTAAGTTGTTTACATTTGGTCGACTGACCAACCCTCTTCTCAACTCCCCACCTACACTCACCTTTACTGGCTCTATCCCCACCTCCTTGACCTGTCAGTCTTCTCTCCACCTATCTGCTTCGCTATCCACCTTCCATCATCGCCTCCTCCTTTCTCTATTTATTTCAGAGTCCCCTTCCCCTCCCCCATTTCTGAAGAAGGTTCCAGACCCGAAACGTCAGCTTTCCTGCTCCTCTGCTGCCTGGTCGGCTGTGTTCATCCAGCTCTACACCTTGCTATCTCAGATTCTCCAACATCGGCAGTTCCTACTATCTCTTACTAATCAGACCAGTTACATTTTCCTCCAGATCATTTATATATATTACAAACAGCAAAGGTCCCAACACTGAACCCTGAGGAATGCCACTAGTCACAGCCCTCCATTCAGAAATGCACCCTTGCACTGCTACCCTCTGTCTTCTATGACCAAGCCAGATTTTTATTCATCTTGCAAACTCACCTCTGACCCTGTGCGACTTTACCTTCTGTATCAACCTGCCATGTGGGACCTTGTCAAAGGCCTTACTGAAGTCCATGTAGACAATATCCACTGCCCTACACCCATCGATCATCTTCGCCACTTCCTCAAAAAACTCACTGTTGTAATTAGCTTTCCCCAATTTAGCACCATCACCTGACAACTGCACTATCTTTATCCATCAATACCTTAAAGCTTACTGAATTGTGATCACTGTTGCCAAGCTACTCCCCCACTGAGATGTTGACCACCTGGCCAGGCTCATTCTCCAATACTAGGTCCAGTACGACCTCTTTCCTAGTTGGACTATCTACGTACCTTTTCAAGAAGCCTTCTTGGATGCTCCTTACGAACTCTGTCCCATCCGAGCCCCAGCACTAAGTGAGTCCCAGTTAATATATGGGAAGTTAGAATCAACCACAACAACAACCCAGTTACTTTTACATCTTGCCAAAATCTGCCTACATATCTGTTCTTCTATCTCCCGCTGGCTGTTGGGAAGCCTGTAGTAAAGCCCAGATATTGTGATTGCACCCTTCCTGTTCCTGAGATCTACCCATATTGCCTTGCTGTTTGAGCCATCCGAGGTGTCCTCCCGCAATACAGCTGTGATATTCTCCTTAACAAGTGGTGCAACTACCCCCACCTTTTATATCCTCCTCAATCCCACCTGAAACATCTGTATCCTGGAACATTAAGCTGCCAATCCTGTCCCTCCCTTAACCAAGTCTCTGTAATAGCAACAACATCATAGTTCCAAGTACTAATCCAAGCTCGAAGTTCACCTGCCTTACCTGTTACACTTGCATTGAAACAGATGCGCTTCAGTCCACGAGACCCACTTTGTTTCGCAACCACACCCTACCTGCTCTTCCTCTGAGCCTTACTGCCCCTATTCTCTAGTTCCCTTTCAGTCCATTCACCTTTGCAGTTCGGAGTCAACCACGTTGCTGTGGGTCTGGAGCCACATGTAGGCCAGACCAGGTAAGGATGGCAGTTTCCTTCCCTAAAGGACATTAATGAACCAGATGGGTTTTTCCGACAGTTGACAATGGATTCAAGGTCATCATTAGACTCTTAATTCCAGGTGAACATCTGCTTGATGTGGAAAGTCTTCTTGGGGCCTGGGATGGAGGTGTAGGGGCAGGTGTAGCACTTCCTGCGGTTGCAGGGAAAAGTGCTGGGTGTGGTGGGGCTGGAGGGGAGTGTGGAGCGGACAAGGGAGTCACGGAGACAATGGTCCCTCCGGAAAGCAGATAAGGGTGGGGAGGGAAAAATATCTTTGGTGGTGGAGTCGGATTGCAGATGGCCAAGTGTCGGAGGATGATGCGTTGGATCCGGAGGTTGGTGGGGTGGTACGTGAGGACGAGGGGGATTCTGTTTTGGTTGTTATTGCGGGGAGGAGGTGTGAGGGATGAGTTGCGGGAAATGTGGGAGACACGGTCGAGGGCGTTCTCGACCACTGAGGGGGTAAGTTGCGGTCCTTGAAAAACGAGGACATCTGAGATGTACGGGAGTGGAATGCCTCATCCTGGGAGCAGATGCGGCGGAGGCGAAGGAATTGGGAATAGGGGATGGCATTTTTGCAGGAAGGTGGATGGGAGGAGGTGTATTCTAGGTAGCTGTGGGAGTCGGTGGGGTTGAAATGAATATCGGTTTCTAGATGGTTGGCAGAGATGGAAACAGAGAGGTCCAGGAAGGAGAGAGAGGTATTAGCGATGGTCCAGGTGAACTTAAGGTTGGGGTGGAAGGTGTTGGTGAAGTGGATGAACTGTTCGAGCTCCTCGTGGGAGCACGAGGCGGCGCCAGTACAGTCATCAATGTAATGGAGGAAGAGGTGGGGTTTAGGGCCCGTGTAGCTACGGAAGAGGGATTGTTCCACGAAACCTACAAAGAGGCAGGCATAGCTTGGGTCCATGCAGGTACCCATGGCCACCCCCTTTGTCTGTAGGAAGTGGGAGGAATTGAAAGAGAAGTTGTTGAGGGTGAGGACGAGTTCGGCTAAGTGGATAAGGGTGTCAGTGGAGGGGGACTGGTCAGGCCTGCGGGACAGGAAGAAGCGGAGGGTCTTTAGGCCATCTGTATGGGGAATGCAGGTGTATAGGGACTGGACGTCCATGGTAAAGATGAGGTGTTGGGGACCGGGGAATTGGAAGTTCTGGAGGAGGTGGACGGCGTGGGTGGTGTCACGGACGTAGGTAGGGAGTTCCTGGACCAAGGGGGAGAAAATGGAGTTGAGATAGGTGGAGATAAGTTGAGTGGGGCAGGAGCAGGCGGAGACAATGGGTCGACCAGGGCAGTCAGGTTTGTGAATTTTGGGAAAGAGATAGAAGTGGGAGGTGCAGGGTTGGGGAACGATGAGGGTGGAGGCTGTGGGTGGGAGGTCACCTGAGGCGATGAGGTTGTAGATGGTTTGGTGGTCGGGAGTGGGGTCACGATCAAGGGGGCGTTAGGAGGTGGTGTCGGAGAGTTGGCGTCTGGCCTCGGTAACATACTACAACTGCGCCTCCCTTGTCCGCGGGTTTTATGGTGAGGTTGGGATTGGAGCGGAGGGCTGCACGTTCTGCGGGGGAGAGGTTGGAGTGGGTGAGAGGGGTGCAGAGGTTGAGGCGATTGATGTCTCGACGGTAGTTGGAGATGAAGAGGTCGAGGGAGGGTAGGAGGCCTTGGGGTGGTGTCCAGGAGGAAGGAGTGTGTTGGAGGCGGGAGAAGGGGTCAGTAGAGGGAGGGTTAGGCTCACGGCAACTGGTTTAGTTGGAATTGTGTCTAGTCTTGCAGATTTTGCTGCACCTGAATGCCACTTACATTCTGTTCTCTCAGTGAACCAGCTGCATTTCATTCCTGTGGATCTGGGCTCTCCAATTATGCACTGTGCAGTGTGCGATCCTTATGTAGTGATAATGAGTGGCGAAGGGCAGGTGACGATGTTTGTATTGAAGCGTGACACATATGGAGGAAACACCCACAGACTGACCATGCAGAAGCCACAAATACACATGGTACGTATTCCTGACCAGTAAAGCCTTAGTGCTGACTCTCCAACATACATTCTTGAGCATCAGTGACTTGAACCTATGACTGATGTAATGATGTAATTTCTGAGGGGAAAGTGAACTTTTATAGCACTTTTATTGCTTTCACGTGGCAGCTCCTTATTCTTACATTTTCCACAAAGTGCAAGTTGAAAATTAAACTTAGTAACATACTTTGCTGGCCATGTTGTTAGATCCTGTTGATCAGGGCTGCTTTTGTGCTTCCCTGTATTATTAACTGTAAATACTCCATTCTATGCACTCATCATCTCGATATAGATTCGGACCATTTTCAACAGGGTAGGAGGCCATTTGATCCATCATACCCATGCAAGCCATTTGCAAGAGTAACTTAGCTAGTCTCATCTTTTGATGTTTTTCCACGCCCTGCATTGTTCCTCTTCAGGCATTTGGCTAATTCCTTTTCGAAAACCCCAGTTGAAGCTGTCCCCACCACTCTTTTCAGACAGTGTATTCCAAATGCTAACCACTTGTTGACAAAGAAAAGTTCTTTTGCTAAACACCATTAATCTGTGTCCTCTGGTTGATACCCCTTCAGCTAATGGAAAAAGTTTCTTTCTATGCTGTCTTGACCCATTCTGATTTTGGACAGCTCTGTCAAAGCATCTCTCAACTTTCGAGGAGAGAACAAGTTCTACAATCTATTGTCTTACCTCTGCAACCTCTTTTAAATCTTCACATTCTACTTTAACCTTTTGTTCCTTCCTTTGTTTGAGTTTGGCATTGGGAGCAAACCAAAAATTCCTGCTAACAAGGTTCTACTTTTTTTAATCAGGAGCAAAAACCCAAGTTGCTGTCCTGAGGAAGGGTCACTGGACCCAAAACATTAACTCTGACATTTTTTCGTCACAGATGCTGCCAGACCTGCTGAGTTTTTCCAGCAACTCTGTTTTTGTTCCTGATTTACATGATCCACAGTCCTTTTGGTTTATATTTTTTAATTGTCTATCTAATCTCTTGAATTCATTGCGTACTGCTTTAATCTTTTCCCTAAAAGTATCATTCCTACAATGTGTACAGTAATTTCTGGCTTCTCAATCATACCTTTAACAGTATGCTTGAAATGTTTAGAGACATCATTAATCCTAGCACAAGGAAAGCAACAATCCATCCTAAATTTATGCTCACTGCTACAGAATCTCCTGTCTATGCCCCTGACAGGAGAGTCCTCTATAGCTGTAATTCTCTTAAATCTTGTCAAATGCTGCCTAACATAAGAATCATTCCAAGTGTCCAATAACTGACAGGTCCTTCTATTTTCCTCAGAGAGACTATCCCCTTCTACAGTTCCTAAAACTGAATACTTGTTAGAGGAATAGCCACCAGAGATTTTTGAACTACCTTCTTATTTTTCCTGACAGTCACTCAGCTATCTGATTGATCCTGCTGTGTAATAACTTTTCTAGATCTACTAGCCGTTTCTCACACTCATATATACCCTTAATAACATTAAGCCGAAAAAAACTTCAACAACACCTTCAATATATATAAACTACCTTTTGCTACCTACAGAAAATAATGTTAAAATGAGAAAAAATAATATATATATCAAACGTATAAAACTTAAATAAAATCAACCACTTATAAAAAAAAAACTCACCTCTAAAAACATTTGCAATGTGAAAAAACCCTCTAAACACATATAGACTTCTTTAACTTCTGAATTCACAATTAAAAAACCCTCAACCATTTACTGCAGACCCTTGAATGCTCGTTTTTAAAAAAAAAGTCTAATAAAAAAAACACGATTTTTTGGTTTTTTAATAAAACAAAATGAATAAAAACCTTATTAGTAAAATTATAATGACAGTAATAACTGTTTAAAAAAAAAACTGTAATAAATCTTTAAACCTGCAATCCAGGAGCAGCTGCAAGATCCATGCTGCAGAGTGTTCAGGTTTCTTCACTGTGTATGGCTTGTGTTTACATGTTGAGTTGAAACTTTGTGGCTGTACGGTTTGAGTTGCAGCATTCTTGTCAGGCATTTATTGTCTGCAGGATTCTGCACTGCTTCATCTAATAGTTGGATTGGCTGATGGTTTTGCACATTTTACTGTCACTTGCAGTTGTCAAAGGTGATTGCTCTCTGTGCATACCGAGATATCAGTGGAATGTTTACCACAGAGAGCCGAGCCTCTGTCGTGAAGGAGGACACTATGAAAGGGAGCCAGTCAGAAATGGAAACCATGATTACTAACATGAGGTAAGGGACACTCTTCTTCACACTTAATTTATCTCTGTTTAATAGAGTTATTATGTCATCTGCTGCTTAGGTTGGTGATGATGAGGATAGGGAACATGTTAAGGTTAACAAAGGGGATGGTATTAGGTGTTTAAGCAGGCATAATGGTGCATAAATCCTCAAGGCTTGATGAGATGCATCCCAGGTTGCTTTTGGAGGCAAGGGAGCAGATTATGGGGCCAAGGCAGATATGTTAAATACTCCACTGGCCACAGGTGATGTGCCAAATGACTGGAGGACAGTTAACGTGGTTGCTTTGATCAAGAAGGGTAGCAGGGATAGGCCAGATAACTACAGACCAGTCAGTCTGACATCAAAGGTAGGGAAATTATTGGAAAAAATTCTGAGGAATACAATAAATCAACACTTGGAAAGGTAGGAATTGAACAGGGATAGTCAGCATGGAATCATTAGAGGGAAATCCTGTCTAATTTAAAATTAAAGCTTTTGAAAATATGACTAAATACATTGATGGGAGTAGTGCAGTTGATGTGGTTTACATAGATCTAAGTAAGACCTTCGACAAGGTCCCACATGGAAGGTAAGAACCTGTGGGATCCAAGGCAAATTGCAAATTACCTCCAAAAGCACCTTAGGAATAGTAGCCAAAGCGTGATGGTGGAAGTTGCTTTTGTAATTTGAAGCCTGTGACCGGTGGTGTAGCATTGGGAACTGTGCTGGGAATTTTGCTGTTTGTTATATATGTTAACGACTTGGATGTGAATGTAGAAGGTATAATTAAGTTTGCACATGACATGAAAATTGGGGGTGCTGTGGATTGTGAGGAGGATGGCCTTGGGCTGCAGTCTGATATTGATCAGCTGGTAAATTGGGCAGAACAATGGTAGATGGAATTTAATCCTAATAAGTATAAGGTGATGCATTTTGGGAGGCCTAATAAAGGAAGGATATTGACAATGAATGGTAGGTCCCGAGGGAGTACTGAGGAACAAAAGGACCTTGGTGTACAAGTCCATAAATCCCTGAAGCTGTTAGCATTGGTAGATAGGGAAGTGAATGAGGCATATTGGATGATTACCTTCATTAGCCAGGGCCTAGAATATAGAGCAAGAAAGTCATGCCACAACTTTATAAAACATTGATTAGGCTACAGATGGGATATTGTATGCAGTTCTGGTTGCCACATTATTGGAAGGATATGATCGCACTGGAGAGGATGCAGAGGAGATTCACCAGGATGTTCCCTGGGATGAAAAGTCTCAGTTAGGAGGAGAGACTGGATAGGCTGGGTTTATATTCCTTGGAGCAGAGGAGGCTGTGGTGGGACCTGATTGAGGTATAGAAAATTATTAGAGGCACAGAGTAGATTGTGAAAATGTCTTCCACATAGCAGATCTGTCCAAGACAAGAGGGCATGAGTTTACTGTGAGAAGTAAATGGTTTAGAGGAGATCTGAAAAAAAAAAAGATTTTCACCCAGAGGCTGATAGAAATATGGAACAAGCTGCCTGAAAGGGTCATAGAGGCAGGTACAGTTGCAATATTTGAGAAACAACTAGGTGAGTACTTAAAATGCCAGGGCATAGTCTATGGACCAAGTGCAGGTAAATAGGAATAGTGTAATTTGGTTTTTGTTTGTGAGCTGAAGGGCCTGTTTCTATGCTGTATGACTCTATCTGGCGAGAAGTTGAGTTGTTCCAAACGATTGATGTAGAAGGGTAATTCTCAGGATTTCAACTGCAGATGTTCGGAAATAGATCAGATTTTGTTTTGCTGTGTGTTTTAAGATCTTCTAAACTGTGTTCCATATTTAGCTTGGTTTGATTGTCCTATGTGAAATAAATGTCAGTTTTATTGTAAAAGAAAGCTTTCTCTGCCTATTTTTCTGTGAATGACCACTAATTTCGTCTGAGATCTGACTTGTCCGTTAGGAGCATTAGCTGGGTTCATAACACTGTTAAGGGGAGGCAATGGCCTAGTGATATTATTGCTGGACTGTTAATCCAGAGACCCAGATAATGGTCTGGTACTTGGGTTCGAATCCCACCATGGCAGATGGTGGAATTTGAATTCTGTAAACATCTGAAATTAAGAATCTGACAATGACCGTGAATCGATTGTCAGAAAAACCCATCTGGTTCGCTTATGTCCTTTAGGAAAGGAAACTGCTATCCTTAACTGACCTGGTCTACGTGTGACTCCAAACCCACAGCAATGTGGTTAACACTTAACTGCCCTCTGGGCAATTAGGGCTGAACAGTAAATGCTGCCTAGCCAGCAACGCCCCTAATCCCATGAATGAATAAACAAAAAGAAATGGGATTTCATGTTCTGCACAATTAACAAATGTTAATTAATTTTGTTGGTCACATCCAAGAGTTTCTGTGTGTTTTGTTTCAAATTTGCAGTACCACAGTGGACGATGAAGAGGAGATGCTGTATGGAGAGTCTGGCTCAGCACTCTTCAGCCCTCCTAAAGAGGAACCAAGCCGCAGCTCTGTGCCAATGGCTGAAAAAGAGCCCTCTCACCTTAAAGTAGAACCTACCAACTGGTGCATGCTGGTGAGGGAGAATGGCGTCATGGAGGTGAGCATTGTGATCCATGCCTCAGATTGAGTTGAAATGGTTTGAGAGATGGTAAGACACTTGATATCTGGTGACAATACAGTTAAAAGCTTCTACTTATGTTTTGCTATTACAATATCAGTAAAGATATTTTAGGTGCAATAATATGAAGGAGTGCTGCTAAATTAAAATCTTAGATTCTTAGTGCAGGAAGAGGTGATGTAGCCCATTATGTTCATGACAGTTTTTCAAACGAGCTACTTAATTTTTCTTTTAAACTCCCCTGCTTTATTCCCGTAGCCCTCCACATTAATCTTGCATTGGATCAATGATAGAGAGGGAGTAATTCTTCCACCACTGGACTTCAGTCAGGCCTGATGTCAACAAACTCTTTTGCGGATTTACCCCGTGTATCAATTCATAACCTTGTTGCCAAAGTGGAATTCATATACATTGTTTTGTTAAGCTTTTATTAATTTAAGGTTTTGTTTTTGCAATTCCTAATATTGTAACTTAATTTTGTACCTTTTCACTTGCCTCCTCCAGCTGCTGCACACTATACAAAAGTGTGAAGTGATTCATTTTGGAAGGTCAAATTTGAATGCAGAATACAGGGTTAATTGCAGGATTCTTGGCAGTGTGGAGGAACAGAGGGATCTTAGGGTCCACGTCCATAGATCCCTCAAAGTTGCCACCCAAGTTGATAGGGTTGTTAAGGTGGTGTGTGGTGTGTTGGCTTTCATTGGCAGGGGAATTGAGTTTAAGAGCTACGAGGTTATACTGCAGCTCTATAAAACCCTGGTTAGACCACGCTTGGAATATTGTGTTCAGTTCTGGTCACCTCATTACAGGAAGGATGTGGAAGCTTTAGAGAGAGTGCAGAGGAGATTTACCAGGATGCTGCCTGGAGTGGAGGGCAAGTCTTATGAGGAAAGGTTGAGGGAGCTAGGGCTTTTCTCATTGGAGTGAAGAAGGATGAGAGGTGACTGGATAGAGGTGTACAAGATGATGAGAGGCAGAGATAGAATGGATAGCCAGAGACTTCTTCCCAGGGCGGAAATGATTATTACGAGGGGGCATAATTTTAAGGTGATTGGAGGAAGGTATAGGGAGATATCAGGAGTAGTTTATTTACACAGAGTGGTGGGTGCATTGAAGGCACTGTCAGCGGTGGTAGTAGAGTCAGATACCTTAGGGACATTTAAGCGAATGCTGAATAGGTATATGGATGATAGTAAAATGAAGGGTATGCAGGTTAGTTTTGATCTTAGAGTAGGATAATAGGTTGGCACAATATTATGGGCTGAAGGGCCGGTGCTGTGCTGTACTGTTCTATGTTCTACACTATTGTATTAAGCTTTTGCACCCACTTCCCCATCCCTCCCAGAAAACGAGGTTAAAAGAATAAAGCATAATGTCTGGATTAGTTATTTGAGCAATAAAAAGTAGCAAATATTTGCAGTTAACCTTTAAGTTCTTAGTTTCCTGATTGTTCTTTCCAGTCAACATTGTAACCACGCAGAGCCTTTCCAACTGTATTCTGTGCTCTTAAAAATCCATACTTTCTTTGCTCTGCCGCAAAGAAAGCTTCTTGAAATAGCAGCTTGTTTGCATATTTCATCTTATGAGTTCACTGCGTTCTTGCTTCGTAATTGTAGACAATGTTTTCATCCCTAATGTGAAGATTCTTGTAAAGGTGTAAATGACGTGGGAGAAGAGGGCCTTTCTAAAGCTCGGGAGAGGTTGACTGGCTTCATTACCTCTTGGATAAAATGTTATTTTCAAATTTTTGTTTGTTTAATCAATGTTGGTTTGATAAATTTGGTCAACTTACATTGGTCAAATAGTGCCTATAGCCATTTTAAGTCAGTGTTATAGGACCCTTTTTAAAAACATTTTAGTCCATTAAAGTCCTAGGTATTAAATTGAATAATGGAATTCAGAGATCAGCAGTCCATATTTTAGTTTACAGACTGACCTTTTCTCATTGAAAGCATGATATAGTGGTTGTGACTTTAACTCTCCTGAGCTTCTCCATAGATATACCAGCTGCCCGACTGGCGTTTGGTCTTCCTGGTGAAGAATTTCCCTGTGGGTCAGCGCGTCTTGGTGGATAGCTCTTCTGGTCAACACATGACCCAGGGAGAGATAAAGAAGGAGGAATTTGCCCGCCTGACGGAGATGCCGGCTGTAAGAGAGGTCTTGCTGGTTGGGCTCGGAAATCGGCAAACGAGGCCTTTCCTTCTGGTAAGCAACAGTTTGTGTCATTGTGATGAGTGTATGTTGATTAATAATATATATTATCTATTTTGTGTGTGTTCTGACCCAATGGAGCACAATGCAAAGGTTTCTTGTGCACAGAGATTCACTTCTGTAGTCTGTACTGTACTGGCCAAACTAAGCTGGGGATCGAATAATGCAGATACTGTGTACCTGAAATAAACAGGGATGATCCTGGAGGCATTTGAGCCAGGCTGGCAGGAAGGTCGGGCTAATGTTTCAAGTTGAGGATCTTGTATCAGACCATAACATGAGCAGCTTATAAAGAGGAACTGAGCCAGGAAAATTGAGTGAGATGAAGTGAAGGACAGAATAAACACAAAAAAGGAAACTGATAGCAGTAAAAGTGGACAAGGTGAGAAAGTCCAGGTAGTTCACTGCCATTCTCTTTTCAGGAATAGAACATAGAACATTACAGCGCAGTACAGGCCCTTCGGCCCTCGATGTTGCACTGACCTGTGAAACCAATCTGAAGCCATCTAACCTACACTATTCCATTATCACCCATATGTTTATCCAATGACCATTTAAATGCCCTTAAAGTTGGCAAGTCTACTACTGTTGCAGGCAGGGCATTCCACGCCCTTACTACTCTCTGAGTAAAGAGCCTACCTCTGACATCTGTCCTATATCTATCACCCCTCAATTTAAAGTTATGTCCCCTCGTGCTAGCCATCATCATCCGAGGAAAACAGCTCTCACTGTCCACCCTATCTAATCCTCTGATCATCTTGTATGTCTCTATTAAGTCACCTCTTAACCTTCTTCTCTCTAACGAAAACAGCTTCAAGTCCCTCAGCCTTTCCTCATAAGACCTTCCCTCCATACCAGGCAACATCCTGGTAAATCTCCTCTGCACCCTTTCCAATGCTTCCACATCCTTCCTATAATGCGGCGACCAGAACTGTACGCAATACTCCAAGTGCGGCCGCACCAGAGTTTTGTACAGCTGCAACATGACCTCATGGCTGCGAAACTCAATCCCTCTACCAATAAAACCTAACACACTGTACGCCTTCTTAACACTATCAACCTGGGTGGCAACTTTCAGTGATCTATGCGCATGGACACCGAGATCTCTCTGCTCATCCACACTACCAAGAATCTTACCATTAGCCCAGTACTCT